TTTGATCGCCGTTTGGCTTCTCCGGCGGCTCCCACGTGACTATTATCCGGTGCGGTGTCTCAACCCTGGCCACCACATTCCTCGGGGGCGATGGCTTGGACTCTGCCGTCTCGAAGTTGACGGGCGGGCCTGGGAGGTTGGAGTTGTTGGACGTGTAGAAGTTCTTGACGGCCACACGAATGGTATAGTTTGTGAACGGCTCTAAACCGGTCAGTGTAAAGGTGCTGTTGAAGGTGTCGACTGTCGTACAGCCTCTCAGACTGAGCCCACATTCGTAGTACCCGTCCGACAAGACTTTGCCGTAATATATGGTGTATTGTACTGAGGCCAGAGTGGTCTTAGCGCAGCCTAAAGGGCGTCGGACCTCTTGCATGGAAATCGTGAGACTATTGGCGGTGTTATCCTCCAGTCTGACCGTCTCGTGGTATTCCATGGGAACCAGGCATTCAAAGTGTGGATACCCGACCTCCACTAGCGAGTCCCGAAACTATGGCACGTGAGGCAATCGCTAAAGGCTCTCGTGATTTACGCCAAGTAAACCTAAGACATTCTATAAGTTGTATAAACCGTCACTAAAGTCACCTCTATATTGCTGTGACTTTGTGTTTGTGTGATGTTTGGCCATCTTATAGACGTTGCCTAACGGCGCGTTTGACCAGTAGATGAAGTCGTTGTCGACGGTCATCGATGTCGGCGGGAAGCCGTACGTAGTGTTGATGAGCACTCGGCACCGACAGCCGGACATATCGCTGGCCATTATTCGCTCGTATTTGAAGTCATACCACAAGAGCTCCGATTTGCCGTATTTGGACCGATCGATGGCCAGGGCGTTGCTCACGAATGAATGTGTGGTACAATTACAGGCCTCGGCACCGGTATCTCTCTTACTTCGCGGTTTGTTTTGCTGGAAGAATGGTCTGACACTCGCAGTGGATGGGCTGCCGCGAGCTTTAATGTCACACATCTTGAGGTAACCTTTGTTTTGGTTTATCATTTCCGTCCAAATCAATGTACTGGAGAACGGATCCACTTCTATGGAACCGATTACCACATTGTTTTTGGTGGTCACGAGAACTGGTTTGGCTGTCGGGTCGTTCAGATCGTACGACCAGATGGTGCTCTTTGGCGATGTGTCCGTTTCGGACCAATACAGGTGTCTACTGATCCAATCGACGGTCAGGCCATTACCGGGTGAGTGCATCTGATGAATGATTGTGATGTTAGTGCCGTCCAAATAGGACTTCTTCAGTATGCCATCCTCTTCCACCCAAAACATGAGATTTTCTTTACTGATATAAGTGACTGTAACAGGAATTATCGCTTTTGTGGTCAGAATTTTCTCCTCGTGAGTATCAATGTCAGCCATTCTGATGGAGTCCTGTTTTGTGACCAACAGCCTGGGCACCGGGTGTTCATTAGAGCTGAGGGCGCCTATAACATCACTGGGCGGTCCATCACCAGCCTCTGTAAAGGCCTGTACTTGAAAATAGTACGAAGTATTCATCTTAAGGTCACTCAAGTAGATCTGATGTGTTTGGCCGAAGACTTTTACGTTTTCGACTTCGATATTCTTCTGACCCGATTGCGTGGACCAGGCGTTCACAGTATAGCCTAATATGACACCATTTGGCTGTTCAGGTGATGACCACCGGAACTCGGCGTGAATTTTCTCGATTGAATTGTCGTATGTCGAGCGCTCGTAGTTAATGAATATTCTTGGTTTCGATGGTTTGGTAGGCGTAGACATCGGTGAGTATAGCTCAATGACTGTCTGCTTACTAGAGGCCCAGTAGGTAAAGGCACGGATGGCTAACTTGATCTTTGAATACGGCGGCAATTGGTTGGCCAAAGGGTACGGGTATTTGGTCTTATGGGTGATCACGGATTGTCTGTTTATCTGACGACTGTCTTCGATGACCAACTCGTAGAAGACCTGATCGTAGTTCACGTTTTCGCACTTTTTCCAGAAGATCGTGAAGTTGTCGTAAATACCGGTCAGTTTGATGTCCTCTTCCTTCAGGTCGTGCGGTATGACTTGGATGTCGTGCAGGGCTCGGAAGCCGGTGGGCACGGGCTGTAGGGACGGGTCGACGATTGTCAGTGTGTTTATGTCGTTCAGACCCAAGCCCTTGAGGACCGCGAAGTTCTCGCCATTTTCACCGCTAATCAACGCGTGATTCTGTTGCTCCTCTAACCAAAACATACGGTCGCTGTAGTAGGAAAGGGGTCCCCGGATGTGACTTTCGGGTAGGTGTCCCACGATCTGAATGGTATGGGACACAAACTCGGCGTTTTCACCCCGGGCCAGGTTAGCGCTGTACAGCACTACCCCCTCGTAGCTCCGGAGTATCCAATAGATGAGATTCGTGTCCAGGTTTAGCGTAAGACCCATAATGTGTTTGCCGGTGAAGAGGTTGGTCTCGAAATACTTCATGCGATCCATTCCGTTGAGGCGACTAAACTCNAGTGGATCCGTTCTCCAGTACATTGATTTGGACGGAAATGATAAACCAAAACAAAGGTTACCTCAAGATGTGTGACATTAAAGCTCGCGGCAGCCCATCCACTGCGAGTGTCAGACCATTCTTCCAGCAAAACAAACCGCGAAGTAAGAGAGATACCGGTGCCGAGGCCTGTAATTGTACCACACATTCATTCGTGAGCAACGCCCTGGCCATCGATCGGTCCAAATACGGCAAATCGGAGCTCTTGTGGTATGACTTCAAATACGAGCGAATAATGGCCAGCGATATGTCCGGCTGCCGGTGCCGAGTGCTCATCAACACTACGTACGGCTTTCCGCCGACATCGATGACCGTCGACAACGACTTCATCTACTGGTCAAACGCGCCGTTAGGCAACGTCTATAAGATGGCCAAACATCACACAAACTCAAAGTCACAGCAATTATCTCCACTGAAATCACTGCCAAATATGTTGAATATCTTACAGAATCCAAATGAACCGCATTTAGTGCTCTCGGAAATCGCTAACGGAGTGCACGGTATCAAAGCCCTGAGCGATCACCTCCAGCCCTACCCACACTTTGAATGTCTGGTTCCCATGGAATACCACGAGACCGTCAGACTGGAGGATAACACCGCCAATAGTCTCACGATTTCCATGCAAGAGGTTCGACGCCCTTTAGGCTGCGCTAAGACCACTCTGGCCTCAGTCCTATACACCATATATTACGGCAAAGTCTTGTCGGACGGGTACTACGAATGTGGGCTCAGTCTGAGAGGCTGTACGACAGTCGACACCTTCAACAGCACCTTTACTCTGACGGGTTTAGAGCCGTTCACAAACTATACCATTCGTGTGGCCGTCAAAAACTTCTACACGTCCAACAACTCGAACCTCCCGGGGCCGCCCGTCAACTTCGAGACGGCAGAGTCCAAGCCATCGCCCCCGAGGAATGTGGTGGCCAGGGTTGAGACACCGCACCGGATAATAGTCACGTGGGAGCCGCCGGAGAAGCCAAACGGCGATCAAANCTCCAACCTCCCGGGGCCGCCCGTCAACTTCGAGACGGCAGAGTCCAAGCCATCGCCCCCGAGGAATGTGGTGGCCAGGGTTGAGACACCGCACCGGATAATAGTCACGTGGGAGCCGCCGGAGAAGCCAAACGGCGATCAAATCAAATACGAAATGCGTTGGTATTCATCGAAGGACCAGAATTGGCACAAAGCTATCTATTCTAAGAAACCAAACACAACCAGATTTGGCGATAAGTTCTTCATGGAGATGAACGACAACATCAAACCCAGCCTCACCTACTCCATCAACATCAGGGCCTACTCCAGCGACAACCTCTTCTACAGCGAGAGTGAGACCATTTCGGTGACCACTTATAACCTGCCGAACGAGCTCTATCTGGTCGAGAAGACTAGCCGTTCCCTCAAAGTGAGTTGGGATTCGCCCTCATCTGATACGAACATCTCGGAGATCGGTCAGCACACCATCCAGTACTGCCGGTACGGCACCGACAGGTGGATCGGCCAGGAGTTTAATAGGACACAGCCGTCGACTAAATACCAGTTCACTGTCACTAATCTGATGCCAAACACAGAATATGCGTTCCGTTTGCTATTGACATACCGGTCCACAACCGTACTGTTTAAGTGGCCTGAAAATGATAGGTATGTCTTTAGGACACTGGGAGATGCGCCTGAAGTACCAGAAACACCAAAGATCGATGAGGTGCCCAGTGTTAGCCAACCGTTGTATAAGGTCTGGTGGCATAAGATCTCGGGAAATGGAGCCCAATCTTTATACTATAGCTTATGGTATAAAATGATTGATAAAAACGATGAGAATCCCAATGAAAAGAGCGGTGAATGGACGCAAGCCTTCAACGGAACCGAAAACTACTGGTTTATCACCGGTTTGGCCACCGATAAGAAAGTGGTGTTCAAAGTGGGAGCGATCAGTGAGTTTGGTTCAAGTAATTACAGTCAAGAGACGGAGCCGTTTGAGATGATGGCCACAGAGATGGTTGAAGACGATATCATCACGATCTCCACGGCTATAGTGGGGGCCATACTCTTTGTCTTCGTCATCCTTACCCTCTTCTGCACGAGTAATACATTATATTAATTCACATTATTATATGAGTTAACAATTGTCTTTGAAATGTCTTACAGTCCGTAAGCGTCAGGTTCAGGAGCAGAAGAAGAAGTCACTGGAGGACAATAGGCTCCACAGAAATGGACTCGAATTGGTTCCCTGGCCTGAGCTGCCCGGCCATCCGCATCAAGTGAACACACTCTACACAAATAGTAACTTTGATTTAGACGAAGAGCTGATGGCAATGAATAAAATACAAAGAGAGCAGATCTCGGAGACACAATTCCTCGGCAGAGGTGCCTTCGGAGAAGTATTTGAGGGTAAATGGCTTCAGATGGTGACCAACGAGCCGAAGATCACTAAAGTGGCCATAAAAGTGAGTTCAAACATAATGTGATTATAAAAATGTATTCAAATATTTATTTCTCGAAACCAGACGCTAAGGAAAGGCGCCTCAGACGAGGAGAAGACCAATTTCATCAAAGAGGCCAAACTGATGGCCAACTTCAAGCACCCGCACATACTTCAGTTGCATGGGATCTGTTTAGACCCGACGCTCATATCGTTGGTGTTGGAGCTGATGGAAGGCGGAGATCTGCAAAAGTATTTACGGAATAACAGACCGCGCGGTGCGATCGCCAGCCCCCTAACGATGGACGACCTGATTAGCATCAGCACAGATGTGGCCAAAGGGTGCAAATATCTCGAAGAGATCCGTTTCGTTCACCGGGACTTAGCCGCCCGTAATTGTCTGGTCTCCAGCTTTGACCGCAGGACTCGAGTCGTGAAGATCGGGGACTTTGGTTTGGCTCGAGATATATATAAGAATGATTACTATCGCAAAGAGGGAAAGGGATTACTGCCGGTGCGCTGGATGTCACCCGAGTCTCTCATGGACGGCGTGTTCACATCACAAAGCGATGTATGTATTAATCGGTGATATTTAGAGTATATTAACGTAATAATGATGGTATGACTTTCCAATTGAAAAGGTGTGGTCTTTCGGGGTAATTCTATACGAAATCCTGACGTTAGGCCAAAGCCCATACAGTTTAGCCAAAGACAACGAAGAAGTGTTTAATTATGTCATAACCGGACGAACACTGGACCGGCCCCACAATTGCCCCGATGAGTTGTAAGTGTATTTTTAAAAAATTGTGTTTAATTTACTAATTAAAAGTGATTTTTAATGATGATTTATTGTTACACCATATTAGGTATGGCCTAATGAAGAGGTGTTGGAACTTCCAGAGCGAGGACAGACCTAACTTCTCTGAATGCCTACAGACATTGGAAAAGATTAAGCGAAATATGTCGGGCAGTGAGCCGGCTATCACTGCTGTCCACAACCAGAACTACATATTCAGCCGTAAGTTTCACTGAGTTAATTGAAGTGGGAGTTAATGGGCGCAGGAAATGGTGGTTTAATGTCTGGGTTCACTTCCATGTTATGCATGTCTGCTGAATAATTGATTGGTGATTGTGTTGCGCTTATTATCTATCAGATGGTCATCTATGCCATCAAACGCTGCATATATTGTCTGCACTAATAATTTTCTAGCCTCTGATTGCCTGAACTTCTATTTCCTTTCGACTTTCTATACTAATAATTAACGCTTTGTTTGAATTTTGTTTTGCAATTCATTGAAATAATTTGTGTTTGCTTTCATGCCTATTATTTTTTTTTGTTTTTCCCGTACGTGTTGACGCTTTAGGAGGATTTGATAACCCCGGCTATAATGAGGATGAGAGACAGGCAGGTAGTGATCATACGTTCACAAAAAAACACACCTTTCCATTATCATAACCATAATCACTAACACATATTATATTTGTATTGCTTTCTAAATGTTTTCCAAGTTTTATTACTCGTAAAAAGCTTTATCTCCATATAATAACTGTTTGTTTTGCAATCTAATTGTACCTGTATACTTCTAAAACACACTAAAAAACACCATATTATGACTTCAAAAGTTTATTTGAAAATGTTTTTCGGAATTTTAACTTATATTTTCCAATTCTCCAATAAATAGGACACTCATCTCATAGTATAAAGAACTCAAGCAATTCATCATCAGCTCAGAGCTGTTCCAGCAGTTCCACAATTAAACCCAACTACCAGAACGGACACATCCAGTACCAGGACCTGACTCAAGATGATTACGGTCTGACCGACGCTGACGGCTATCAGATACCGATCAGTAAGTCGCCCCTTCAGGTGTCGGTCGATA